TGTTAGTTTTCCGTGGTAGAGTTTTGAAGCAATAAGAAAATTTTACAGAATTTCCATAGTTGATAATCATGTGCTTATTTTCCCACATTGTTGAGAATTTATTCAGGAAATTTGTTTTTTTGCAGAGGTATGTTTTTCAGCTACGCCCGCGAGAGCCCAAACGTTGGTGATTTTCGATTGGGATGATACTATATGTCCGACGACTTGGGCGAAGGTCAGCGGATTGAATGTAATAAAAAGGCGGAGCGAAGTTTTTTGGTTGATAATTTTTAAGAAGATTTTATTGTGAATTTTGTTTTTCAGTGGAGTTTCCGTTTTTTGTATGGAAATTATCAACGAAGATTAGAAATTTTAGAAACTTTTATGGAATTTTTGGAAAATGTCCAAATTTCTGATTCTTTTTTCATTGATTTTCTTGTCGAAATCGCAAATTTCCCGATTGTAAATATCATTATTATTTTTGATAAGGTTTGCGATCCCTTCGTCCCGGAGCAGTTCATCGACCCTCTCGCGGAGCTCGCAGAGCAAGCTGCGAAAATGATAAGAGTCGCCGCCTCTTTAGGTAAAGTGGTTATTGTCACTAACGCACAGGTAGGGTGGGGAAGGGCGTGGGTTCGAATCCTGGTGGGGGTATTTTTATTAATTTTAGAAGTCAGTGTCGTAATTTATGTTCACTTTTCTCAGCTGAGTCTAGGAGTTTCCTCATTGATTATAGGAGTTTATTTACGAAGTACTGTAGGATAAAAATGTACAGAAGTCAATCAAAAATTTTTTCCGAAATTTCCGCCCGGAAGTTTCATATTGCCATCACCAACATATGTAGTGGACCCTGTGCATATATTTCCACGTATGGAAATTTTCCCGAAATTTTGTTCCAGAATTTTTACATAGTTGACCATGTGCTTATTCTTCCCAACTGATTTTAGGACGGCTGGTTTGAATTATCGTGTAGAAAATGGTTGCCGTCGCTGGAGCCGCTTTTCCAAGATTTGGCAGTTCAAATTTGCAGTGCGCGAAGTAATATATGGGCGTTGAGAAAATGTAAGTGTGGATAAAATTGCAAGATTTTGGGAAATGTAGGTGCGTTCGAACATAAAGGAGTGAAGAGCCCGGCTGGGTGGAAAGCGCATGCTTTTAGGGATATAATTGATGGGCAGAGATGTGGGTATCCAAATCGATCACGTGATCGATTTGGTAAAATAGGTGCTACGCCGATGAGTGGAGGAGATTTGCAGTTTGTTGAGCAGCCCTCGAGCACGGCGGCGAATTTCTGGAATAGTTCGGCAATGCACAGGTATCTTGAGGTTCATGTTGGTGTTGCACGGATGAAAAGATATTTTTGCGCACAGCAAAGATTTTTTTGGTAGGTCGTGGAGAAATGTGATTTCCATTGGAGATTCGCCACACGAACGAGAAGCTCTGATGAGAGTGACTTTAGGAAATATACCAACGCGGAGGACGGCCAACAGCTGGTGCGTG